GTCGGATTAAGGGAAATTGAATCAAGTCACAGAACATATCATTCTAGCACAGCAGCAACCTGAATGCCCTCAAAATGTTTTGGACATCAATTCCCATAAGCGTTAACTGTTCTGACCAGCCATCAGAGATGCTAGAAGCTGTAGTTCAAAATACCTGGAGAGCACCAGGCTGCCTATGCATCTTCTAGAATTTGGATTTCAGATTAGAAATGAACCTTTACATTGTCTAGCATTGGCATCTTTCCAAAACTGAAGCAGGAGTACTCAAAAGGGGAAAGAAGAAATAAAAACTGTCATGAAAAGTGACTGAAAGTAAAATTCAAGAAACAGGATGGGAATATGCAGGAAAAGGTGAAGGCTGGAGATAATGGATACCAAAAAGGTCTTACTTTGGCAGTGTTATCAAGACAAAAATCATGACTTTGCTGTAGCCTCAAAATAGGGAACACAAGACAGAAAAGTAAGAAAAATAAAAATAAAGGAAAATTAGAAGGGAAATAATACAAGGAGGACACAATTAATGAATATGAAAGAATAATAAAGAAAGAGGGGAAAATAATACATGTAATGTAAAAATAAAGTAAGAGAGGAAAAGAGTAAAGACAATGGGGGAAAATGGGAAATGACACCAAATCGTGGAAACACGACACAACAAACACAAGGGTAGTGGACGGCACTAAAAAAAAATTGATTTTGTACGGTGGGGGAGTTTGCGAGTGTGATTGGGATTTATAGGGGTCAAATAACAAATCAAAAGAGAAGTGATGCTGGACCCCACCACACGATGGAAGGGAACAGAACCGTTTGCACACACAGTTGCTTCAATGAAAAACAAGGAGAAAATAGAACTGCGAACGGCGGGTGCGGGGGACAGGGTACTGTGGTTGGGGAGTGGGGAGAGGTCACCGACAATACAGAGAGTGAACGCGGGGACGAAAACAATTGAAGGATGCTGGACCCAACCAGTATAAACACAAGGATCGCAAGTGCCAACAGGTGGTAAACAAGGGGTGGCAGTTGGGGCTGGAAAATCAGAAGCTTGACAATTTGGTTCGAGTTGTGGCAGTGGCTGGGATGGATAGTGACACCCGACAGTCATACCTAAGAGCAATGTCTGGAACCACTTACCAACGAGAGAATGGGGTGCCAACAACTCAATGACACAGAACCCCACGCATGGAGGGAAAACAGAATAACGCGGTTACTCGGCAGGGGGTTCACGCTAGTAGAGATATTAAGAGGACGAGATAGTGCTAATCACGACCACGCTGAGAAGGCCTGCCAGAAAGTGTGACCGTTATGGGGAAACATCAGGACGGCGAAGACTTTGGGAACTAGGGCAAGCAGCACAGAAAACTCATAGCAACCCAGTGATCCCAGCCATGAAAAATTGACAAACAATTCCTAACTGCTTTGCAACTATTTTCCGCTCATAAGTGGGTCCTGGGCCCCTGACCCAGGGAAAGGGAGGGCTGGCTGCGTGGCCCTGATTCTCCTTTGGAAACCTTTAAGTCGGTCCTTTCCGCAGGTGCCCCGAAGGCCAAGATTTCCCGCCGTGTGGAGCCTGACGGCCGGGAAGTCCTCACCTGCCGGGCCTATGGCTTCTCCCCCAAGGAGATCCGCCTCTTCTGGCTAGAGGACGGGGAAGTGACGGGGCTCCATGTGGACTACGGCGACATCACCCCCAACTACGACCACACCTTCTACACCTGGCTCAGGATCACCATCGCCCCCAAGCAGCGAGGCCGCTTCCGGTGTTTCATGGACCACGAGACGCTGCAGAACCCCGTGGAGCTCTTCCTGAAGAAGCCTAGTAAGGGGGCCGTGGTGGGAAGGGTCTCCTGATGGGAGCAAAGGCGCCCCAAGACACTGAGGAAACACGTAAGAGCATTTAAGGTGTTGCTTGACCTATTTTGCTTTGACATAAGAGCGGCGTTTTGACTTGAAGAGCTAGCGCGAGAGGGAACATTAGTATGATTGTGCAGGGTCCACTTGTGACGTAATGGGGTAAACTGCTGAGCTGCTGAACTTGCTGACCAAAAGGTTGGCAGTTCAAATCTGGGGAGCGGAGTGAGCTCCCGCTGTTAGCCCCAACTTCTGCCAACCTAGCAGTTTGAAAACAATCAAATGTGAGTAGATCAATATTTATTTATTTATTTATTTATTTAGTACACTTGTATACCGCTAGTATCTCAGCCTAAAACGGCGACTCACTGCGGTTTACAGCATTTAAAAACAACAATATTCCGATTAAAAATATAAAAAACACATACATATATAATACACAGTACTGGGCCACCAATACAGACCAATGCATCTCTTAAATAAAAATCATAATCCAATAGGTACTGTTTCGGTGGGTAGGTAACAGCGCTCCATGTAGTCATGTTGGCCACATGACCTTGGAGGTGTCTATGAACAAAACTGGCTCTTCAGCTTAGAAATGGAGATGAGCACCACCCCCTAGACTTAATATCAGGGGAAGCCTTTACCTTTACCTTGGGGCTCAGCCTCCGTGCCTCATGCTCTTATCTGATTTCTGTCCGCTTTGCTCTTGTCCGCTTTGGGAGATGGCTCTCCGCTTTGCTCTTGTCCGCTTTGAGGAACTTTGGATTAGTTGATTTTGTGTGGTTTTTATTCTTGGTATGTTTGGCTTCATGAAGAGAGAGAGAGAGAAAGCAAGAGAGGAAGGGAGGCTGGCATGAGTACAGTAGGAAGAAAATGATGTTTCTGCCTCCTCATTTTGTGCTTCCTTGCCGCAATTTTGTGCTTTTGCCATTCTAAAGTTGATCTTTCTTTTGTGCATTAATAGGTTATTTAGAAAGTACATTTTCTTATTTCAAAATACCTAACCCAAAAAGAGTGTGTTTGAGGGGCTGCAATGGATTACTGTTTGTAATGCATTTTTTAAAATAATTATTGTCACTGTTATTACTGTTTGTATTGTTGTATTTGGGCTCGACCTCATGTAAGCTGCACCGAGTCCCTTGGGGAAATAGTAGCGGGGTACAAATAAAGTGTTGTTGTTGTTGTTATATTAATAGCATATCAGTGGCAAATTTGCTTTGAGATAAGAGCGATTTGAGTTAAGCGCTCAGGCACAAAACGAATTAAACTCTTAACTCAAGGCACAGCTCAGCCAAACCATACAGGCTGATATCGAGCTGCTTTTAGGAGGATCTCCCCAGCTAGGGAGATCCCGAGGACTGCACCAAAGAAAGTCTTTAAACCAATTTCAACGATAAAAATATTAAAAAATAATAATCCTCACAAAGCGGAAGAAGTTCAGCAATTGAGGTGTCTTTATTAGCGATTCAGCTGAGATCGGATGCATTGTAGAAGTAATTCCACCACAAGCATGCAGGAGCACAGTGATACAGGCATATTTATACAATTTTTGAAAACCCAGAGTTCAAACTTCCCGCCCCGGCTTCCCTTTATTCCCTGCTGTGATTGGGTGATGGGCGGACACCTGGGAGGCAGCCCTCCCACCCCCGGCGCCTCTCGACCAATCAGGAAGCTCCAGTGGTCTGTAGGATCCAATGGGGAGACCTCTGTCACCTGGTGGCGACAGCCAATCAGGAGAAATGGAGGCAGGATGAGGGAGCACAAAGGAATCTGGGAAAGGAATCTTTAAACAAAGGAATGCCATGTGCTCTGAGACAAAGGATCAACATGTGTTCTGATCCTTCCTGGTTGTGAGACAGGAGAACAATGATGGCAGCCTGAGGTTAATGTTAAGTAAACAAAAGCAGAGGGGAAGATTTCCCCTTATGTTACAGAAACTTTTGTCAAACAATGCTTTACTCTAGTGGGCCATCTCCCGAGGCTAGAGAGAAGAATCTCCTTCTTTTATCCATGCAAGTGCGTCTTTGGCAGGAGGTTTCAGTCTTTTGTTTCTGAAGGCCAGGGGGTTCCCTTACATATAGAAATTATACACAGGGAAATCATATGCAGCTATCTTCCCATCCAGGACCCCAGAGAGAGATTAATAATACCAATTATAAAAAGCAGACGATATCAGGACACAGCATGGATTCATAAGTTGTCTTGAAGAAAGTTCATGGATCCTTGAGAGTGAAGTCCAGGAATGTTTGGGGCTTTGTAGTCCCTTTGGTGGAGTGTCTTCATGTATATAGGGGAAACAAAGGTCAGAAGAAAAGGGGAAAGGCTTCTGCCACACAAAGAAATCAGAAAACACATTTCATATATCTAAAGTTCATAAAGGCCAAGATTTCATAAGGTTTGTCCCTGCATCTATGGCAAGCATCCTCAGAGGTGACCTCACCTCTGAGGATGCTTGCCATAGATGCAGGCGAAACGTCAGGAGAAATGCCTCTAGAACATGGCCATATAGCCCGAAAAAACCCACAAGAACAAATTGTGTCCAACATGAAAGCCTTCGACAATGCATTTCATATATCTAAAGTTCATAAAAGGCAAGATTTTATAAGGTTTGTCCATGTGGGGGGAAAGCGTGTCCATGGGGGATGGCTAAAATGCATGGGTGTTGCACAAAGGTCCTGGCAGGAGTTCTTGAGTGGCCCAAATGGACCTGGTGTCTCTGGAAACAAGCTTTGCTCCCCGTCCTTGGAGAACTACAGCTCCCGAGAGAGGCAGAGACCCCAAGGTCTAGCTATTCCTGAAGTTTCATGGGGTCCTCATTGTTGTTAAGGCCTTGGCAAATTGACCAAGACTTAACCCCTATTGTGCAGTCTGGTACCTTTGTCCTTTGCAGAACTATAAGTCACCATCCCTTGTGGGGGGGGGGGGTGCTCGACATCAAGGCCATGGGTGGGAGATCAGCAATTGTCAACGTGGAGTTAATTGGGCTGATTCCAACAGAGTGGCTGATTTGGTCACTCGATGCCCACACCCCTGTGAAGAGTTGGAGAGCACAGAAAGGCTGTGGCTCGGAGTATTTGGCTGGGAATTGCAGGGGGGTGTTTGGGAGCCCTTTCCAACGCTTTTGCTCCTCTTGTCTCCTTGTCAATTCCAGCCAACACGAGCTCCATCACGGGAGGCATCGTCGGAGTCATGCTGGGCCTCCTCCTGGTGGCCTCGCTCTTTGCCTACAACAGTAAGTAAATCCTGGTTGGATGAGTTAGGGTTTTGTTGTGGTTCAGCAACAGCATGATGGGACTGAGAGTGCAAGTGGGCATGATGGGAATGGGGATACAGATGCAGGTATGGGATTTCAGATTTCTCAGTTTTCTCAGCCACAGTCTGTAGCTAGAGAGAATCCCTTGTTCTCATGGGAACGGAATGTGGCTGATAACACACTCGGTGAAGGTCAGCGTGAGCTGCAGGTGTTAAGGAGAAGTTTACGAATTGCGGCCAAATCTTGAGGCCATCTGCTGGTGGGAAAACTGCTCGTTAGCTGTTCTGTTTAATGTTCAATGTTTTGATGTTTTACCTATAAGAAGGCTGCTTGGGAACTGATTCAGTGTCTGTTTCAACTTTGCAATATGGATCGCTGTACCTCCGGCTCCAGGGCTTGGGCCTTGGGGATTGCCTGCTTCCTGTAACCTCATGCTATTGCCTGGATTTTATCCTGCTTCTTTGCCTCAAGTTTCCTGCTTTGATTCAAGAGAACTTATTGGACCTTTACCTTGTACTATTGAACTTTTTACTGCTTTTACTTTGATTTGTTTGAAACCTCAATAAACTTCTTTCTTCTCAAGTTTGGCTGGTTTGTCAGAGAGCAAGGTGAAGCTTAACCTGAGACGCAACAGGTTTCCTTTCTTGCCCCCGTGATTCCAGCCTGGAGTCAGTGGGAAACAAGCTTGATTCACCTTCGATAACTAAAGATACTCCTCTCTCCCCCTGAAATTGCCCCAATACTCTCTAGGGAACATAGGAGGCCTCTTCACCATCTTTTGGGGGCCTTCTCTGGTCATGAATTGGTCCATGGGTTCCAAAGTAGGATGGAAAGGCTTCCCATACTTCCCTACTTAGCACACCTACATCTAAACGAGACATGAGCCAACTTCGGTCCTCACTCCAGGAGTTTTGGACTTCACCTCCCACAATTCCTGTTTGCTGGCTGCTAGGAATTGTGGGAGTTGAAGTCCAAAACACCTGGAGGGCTGAAGGGCTCTAAGTAATTTGTTTAATAATTATTGTAACTGACTTTTATTTTTATGCTGCATTTCATAAATGTAGGCTGATGCGGTTATTCCCAAAAAATAAGAAAGGAAGAGTGCATTACCGTTGTGGAGGAGTCATATACTGTATAGACTCGAGAATAATCTGAGTTTTTCAGCTCTTTTTTTAGTCTGAAAAAAAACCCCTTGGCTTATTCTCAAGTTAAGGTTATTTATTATTTTACATTATTATTATTATTATTATTATTATTATTATTATTATTATTATGAAACACAACAAGATGAGTCCACAGCAGACACTCTGCTGGCTGTTGTATTGGATCACACGTTGGACACTTCCCAAGTGTCTAGGACTGTGTGATGTATCGGCGAATAATGCGTGCAGATCCCAGTAAGGTGTCCTTCTGAAGCTGGCAGATGGTAATTTTGTCAGTGCTGATTGTGTTTAAGTGCAGGCCAAGGTCTTTAGGCACTGCACCCAGTGTGCTGATCACCACTAGGACCACCTTTACTGGTTTGTACCATTATATGATGGTGATGATGATTATTATTATTATATTCATCTTGTTGTGTTTCTAATTATTATTATTATTTATTTATTTATTTACTTTGCTTGTATACTGCAGTTTCTCAGCCCGTAGGCGACTCAACGAGAGTAAAAGTCAATCATAACAACATACAATTTAAAACCATAAAAAACATAGTATATAAAGTAGTGACACATCAATAGTTAACGTCTCATAACTAGAGTCGTGATCCAATTCGTCAGCCGTAATTCCGTTCCTGTATTCATCATATTCATTGCACTGCTTGTCCGAATGCCGAATTATTATTATTATTATTTGAAATACAACAAGATGAGTCCACAGCAAACAAGATCACTCTGCTGGCTGTTGTATTAGATCAGAGTAGTAGTAATAATAATAATAATAATTACATGTATTATTTTATTCTATTTATTATTATTATTAAATTACATTATTTTACTCTATTATTATTTTTATTGCATTTATTATTTTACTCTATTTATTATTATTATTATTATTATTATTATTCCAATTATTATTTTACTCTATTTTTATTCATTAATTTATTTACAGTAGAGTCCACAGCAAACAAGATCACTCTGCTGGCCGTTGTATTGGATCAGAGTAATAATAATAATAATAATAATAATAATTACATTTATTATTTTATTCTATTTATTATTATTATTAAATTACATTATTTTACTCTATTATTATTTTTATTGCATTTATTATTTTACTCTATTTATTATTATTATTATTATTATTATTATTCCAATTATTATTTTACTCTATTTTTATTCATTTATTTATTTACAGTAGAGTCCACAGCAAACAAGATCACTCTGCTGGCCGTTGTATTGGATCAGAGTAATAATAATAATAATAATAATAATAATAATTACATTTATTATTTTATTCTATTTATTATTATTATTAAATTACATTATTTTACTCTATTATTATTTTTATTGCATTTATTATTTTACTCTATTTATTATTATTATTATTATTATTATTATTCCAATTATTATTTTACTCTATTTTTATTCATTTATTTATTTACAGTAGAGTCCACAGCAAACAAGATCACTCTGCTGGCCGTTGTATTGGATCAGAGTAATAATAATAATAATAATAATAATAATTACATTTATTATTTTATTCTATTTATTATTATTATTAAATTACATTATTTTACTCTATTATTATTTTATTGCATTTATTATTTTACTCTATTTATTATTATTATTATTATTATTATTATTATTATTCCAATTATTATTTTACTCTATTTTTATTCATTAATTTATTTACAGTAGAGTCCACAGCAAACAAGATCACTCTGCTGGCCGTTGTATTGGATCAGAGTAATAATAATAATAATAATAATAATAATAATTACATTTATTATTTTATTCTATTTATTATTATTATTAAATTACATTATTTTACTCTATTATTATTTTTATTGCATTTATTATTTTACTCTATTTATTATTATTATTATTCCAATTATTATTTTACTCTATTTTTATTCATTCTGCTGGCCGTTGTATTGAATCAGAGTAATAATAATAATAATAATAATAATAATAATAATTACATGTATTATTTTATTCTATTTATTATTATTATTATTAAATTACATTATTTTACTCAATTATTATTTTTATTGCATTTATTATTTTACTCTATTTATTATTATTATTCCAATCATTATTTTACTCTATTATTATTCATTTATTTATTTACAGTAGAGTCCACAGCAAACAAGATCACTCTGCTGGCCGTTGTATTGGATCAGAGTAATAATAATAATAATAATAACATGTATTATTTTATTCTATTTATTATTATTATTAAATCACATTATTTTACTCTATTATTATTTTTATTGCATGTATTATTTTACTCTATTTATTCTTATTATTATTATTCCAATTATTATTTTACTCTGTTTTTATTCATTTATTTATTTACAGTAGAGTCCACAGTAAACAAGATCACTCTGCTGGCCGTTGTATTGGATCAGAGTAATAATAATAATAATAATAATAATAACAACAACATTTATTATTTTATTCTATTTATTATTATTATTAAATGTACATTATTTTACTCTATTAATATTTTTATTGCATTTATTATTTTACTCTATTTTATTTATTTATTCATTTATTTATTTACAGTATTTATATTCTGCCCTTGTCACCCTGAAGGGGACTCAGGGCGGCTCACAATGCACATATCCACAGCAAACATTCAATGCCGTTTTTGACATACAAGACATACAGACAGATAGAGGCCATTCAGCAGTTCTTCCACTTCGGATCCTGGAGGTTGCTTGATTCGGTCACAGGCAGGGCCGTAGCCAGAAAAAAATTTCGGGGAGGGTTGAAAATTTCGGGGGGGGGGGGGGGGGAGTTTTGAAATTTCGGGGGGGGTGAAAATTTCCGGGGGGGGAGAGTTTTGAAAATTTGGGGGGGGGGTTGAAAATTTCGGGGGGGGGGGAGAGTTTTGAACATTTCGGGGGGGGTGAAAATTTCCGGGGGGGGAGAGTTTTGAAAATTTCGGGGGGGGGGGTTGAAAATTTCGGGGGGGGGGGTTTGAATTTCGGGGGGGGTGAAAATTTCGGGGGGGGGGAGAGTTTTGAAAATTTCGGGGGGGGTTGAAAATTTGCGGGGGGGGTTTTGAAAATTTCGGGGGGGGGTTTTGAAAATTTCGGGGGGGGGGTTCTTAGCTCACGCTGAAGCAAAGAGCACAGCAGGGGCAGAGCAGCCTTCAATAGCCTGCAGCTCTGCCCCTGTCAACCACCTCCACCAAGTCTGGCCTCCACCAATAATGAAAAAATAATGAAATTTTGAAAATTTTGTCAGAGTTCTGAAATTTTCACCACCAGAACTTGAGTAACATTGTAGAAGCAAAGCACCAGCGCCCCCTATTTTTCACCACTAGAACTTTAGTTTTGTAAGTACTTTAGAACCATTTAGAACCATGGATTGTCCATACCTATTTCAGTACGAGTAGTCAAGACACAATGTGATCCACTGCCCATGCTGAAAGACCCCCAACCATCCCGTATAGTGGATTAAAATGTTAACTAGGATCAGATTTCCTCCATCGATACTGTGTCATCCACTGTTCCCTTTTAGGTACCGTATATACTCGAGTATAAGGCAAACCGAATATAAGCCGAGGCACCTAATTTTACCACAAAAAATTGGGAAAACTTAATGACTCGAGTATAAGCCGAGGGTAGGAAATGCAGCAGCTACTGGTCAATTTCAAAATAAAAATAGATACCAATAAAATTACATTAATTAAGTAGGTTAAATGTTTTTCAATGTTTACATAAAAATGTAATTTAAAATAAGACTGACCAACTTTGATTAAACCATTATTCTAACTTTTTTCAGTGTAAATGTGCTTACGTATCCTTCCAATAATAATAGAGTAAAATAATAAATGATAATAATAAAGTAATAAATGTAATAATAATAATTATAAATAGAGTAAAATAAATGTAGTAAAATAATGTAAATGTAATAATACCAATAATAGAGTAAAATAATAAATGTAATAATAATAAATAGAATAAAATAAATGTAATAAAATAATAGAGTAAAATAATGTAAATGTAATAATACCAATAATAGAGTAAAATAATAAAAGTAATAATAATAACGATAATAATAAAGTAATAAATGTAATAATAATAAAAATAATAGAGTAAAATAAATGTAGTAAAATAATGTAAATGTAATAATACCAATAATAGAGTAAAATAATAAATATAATAATAATAATAACGATAATAATAAAGTAATAAATGTAATAATAATAATTATAGAGTAAAATAAATGTAGTAAAATAATGTAAATGTAATAATACCAATAATAGAGTAAAATAATAAATATAATAATAATAATAACGATAATAATAAATGTAATAATAATAATTATAAATAGAGTAAAATAAATGTAGTAAAATAATGTAAATGTAATAATACCAATAATAGAGTAAAATAATAAATGTAATAATAATAAATAGAATGAAATAAATGTAATAAAATAATAGAGTAAAATAATGTAAATGTAATAATACCAATAACAGAGTAAAATAATACACGTAATAATAATAATAACAATAATAAAGTAATAAGTGTAATAATAATAATAAATAGAGTAAAATAAATGTAATAAAATAATAGAGTAAAATAATACACATAATAATAATAACAATAATAATAAAGTAATAAATGTAATAATAATAAATAGAATGAAATAAATGTAATAAAATAATAGAGTAAAATAATGTAAATGTAATAATACCAATAATAGAGTAAAATAGTAAGTGTAATAATAACAATAATAATAATAAAGTAATAAATGTAATAATAATAATAAATAGAGTAAAATAATAGAGTAAAATAGTAAGTGTAATAATAATAATAATAATAAAGTAATAAATGTAATAATAATAATAAATAGAGTAAAATAATAGAGTAAAATAATGTAAATGTAATAATACCAATAATAGAGTAAAATAGTAAGTGTAATAATAATAATAATAATAATAATAAAGTAATAAATGTAATAATAATAATAAATAGAGTAAAATAATAGAGTAAAATAATGTAAATGTAATAATACCAATAATAGAGTAAAATAATAAATGTAATAATAATAATAATAACAATAATAATAAAGTAATAAATGTAATAATAATAATAAATAGAGTAAAATAAATGTAGTAAAATAATGTAAATGTAATAATACCAATAATAGAGTAAAACAAATGTAGTAAAATGTAATAATGCCAATAATAGAGTAAAATAATAAATGTAATAATAATAATAGAATAAAATAAATGTAATAAAATAATAATAGAGTAAAATAATGTAAATGTAATAATACCAATAATAGAGTAAAATAATAAATGTAATAAAAATAATAGTAATAACAGAGTAAAATAATAAATAACTTTGACTCGAGTATAAGCTGAGGGGAGCTTTTTCAGCCTAAAAAAAGAGGCTGAAAAACTAGGCTTATACTCAAGTATATACAGTATGTCTTCTTTTTGGGATAATATATATCTATTTTTTATTCCTATACGGGAAGTACAGGAGGCATTTCAGGACTTTGTGTGAATCTTTTTCAATGAACCATTTCTGTAATGTTGGATGGACGTTTGCTGGGGGAATGGAAACCTTGAGCTCAAACTCTCCAATTTTGTCTTTACAGGGAATAGGCATCGAGTCGAACAAGAAAGAGGTGAGGGACCATGGCTGGAGTTACGCTTAAAAATATACCTGTTCTGACTTACAAATAAATTCAACTTAACAATATTGGGGACAATTCTAGAATCCTAGAGTTGGGAGAGACCTGGTGGGCCATCCAGTCCAACCCCATTCTGCCAAGAAGCAGGAAAATCACATTCAAAGCACCCCTGACAGATGGCCATCTAGCCTCTGTTTCAAAGCCTCCAAAGAAGGAGCCTCCTCTACACTCTGGGGCAGAGAGTTCCACTGCTGAACAGCTCTCACAGTCAGAAAGTTCTTCCTCATGTTCAGGTGGAATCTGTTAATTGGGTTGTTGTAGGTTTTCCGGGCGATATGGCCATGTTCTAGAGGCATTTTCTCCTGACGTTTCGCCTGCATCTATGGCAAGCATCCTCAGAGGTAGTGAAGTAGGAAAGTAGGAAAAAGGGTTTATATATCTGTGGAATGACCAGGGTGGGACAAAGGACTCTTGTCTGCTGGAGCTAGGTGTGAATGTTTCAACTGACCACCTTGATTAGCATTTAATAGCTTGGAAGTGCCTGGGGGAATCTTTTGTTGAGAGTGATTTGATGTGCCTGATTGTTTCTCTCTGTTGTTGTGCTGTTGTAATTTTAGAGTTTTTTAATACTGGTAGCCAGATTTTGTTCATTTTCATGGTTTCTCCTTTCTGTTGAAATTGTCCACATGCTTGTGGATTTCAATGGCTTCTCTGTGTAGTCTGACATGGTCGTTGTTGAGTTGTCCAGCATTTCTGCGTTCTCAAATAAAATGCTGTGTCCAGGTTGGTTCATCAGGTGCTCTGCTATGGCTGACTTCTCTGGTTGAAGTAGTCTGCAGTGCCTTTCATGTTCCTTGATTCGTGTTTGGGCGCTGCTGCGTTTGGTGGTCCCTATGTAGACTTGTCCACAGCTGCATGGTACACGGTAGACTCCTGCAGAGGTGAGAGGATCCCTCTTGTCCTTTGCTGAACGTAGCATTTGTTGGATTTTCTTGGTGGGTCTGTAGGTGGTTCGTATGTTGTGTTTCCTCATCAGCTTCCCTCTGCGGTCAGTGGTTCCCTTGATGTATGGCAGGAACACTTTTCCTCCGGGTGGATCTTCATCTTTACTCTCGTGGCTTGTTCTTGGTCTTGCAGCTCTTCTGATGTCTGAGGTGGAGTCTCCATTGGCCTGGAGAGCCCAGTTGAGGTGGTTCAGTTCATCTTGGAGGAGGTGGGGTTCGCAGATTCTTTTCGCACGGTCTGCCAAGGCTTGTCATAGATGCAGGCGAAACGTCAGGAGAAAATGCCTCTAGAACATGGCCATATATCCCGGAAAACCTACAACAACCCAGTGATTCCGGCCATGAAAGCCTTCGACAATACAATCTGTTAATTGCTGGGTAATAAAGCTTGATGGAAAGCAGCCATAAAGTAATCAGCTTTATTTACAAGGATTTACACAGAGTAACATCGCAGCTCAGAGCAAAGCGTCAAGCAAGAATGGCGACTCTCCGCCTTCTTCTTCTTCACAGCAATAGACACACCTCCCAAATTCCATTCAGACATCCGGTCTCACACAGAGGAAGTAGGAAGTCAATGCACACATATCGTTCTAGGAAACATACAAACTTCGGTGGTGCAATACCGGCTAGACCAGTGGTTCTCAACCTTCCTAATGCCGTGACCCCTTAATACAGTCCCTCATGTTGTGTGACCCCCAACCACAACATTACTTTCGTTGCTACTTCATAACAGTCATTTTACTACTGTTATGAATCATAATGTAAATATCTGATATGCAGGATGCATTTTCATTCACTGGACCAAACTGGGCACAAATACCCAATACACCCAAATGTGAATGCTAGTGGGGTTGGGGGAGGATTGATTTTGTAATTTGGGAGTTGTAGTTGCTGGGATTTATAGTTCACTTATAATCAAAGAGCAGTCTGAACTCCACCAGCAATGGATTTCAACCAAACTTGGCTCCCATGACCAATGGAAAACACTGGAAGGGTTTGATGGGCATTGACCTTGAGTTTGGGAGTTGTAGTTCACCTATATCCAGAGAGCACTGTGGACTCATGCAATGGTGGATCTGGACCAAACTTGGCATGAATACTCAATATGCCCAAATGTGAATACTGGTGGAGTTTGGGGGAAATAGACCTTGACATTTGGTAATTGTAGTTGCTGGGATTTATAGTTCATTACAATCAAAGAACATTCTGAACTCCACCAAGGATAGAATTGGCTCAAACTTCCCACATGGAATCCCCATGACCATCAGAAAATACTGTGTTTTCTTGTGGTCTTTGGCGACCCCTCTGACACCCCCTCGTGACCCCCTCAGGGGTCCCAACCCCCAGGTTGAGAAACACTGTACTAGACAGTTTTACACACACATGGCCACAGCTTTAAAAATACACACTTTGAAATCTACTCATAAATCAAATACAGTAATAACAGAACTGGGCCCTTTCCATCAGTCTGGATGTGTGTTTTTAGTTCATAACAGCCAGACAGATTACTAGATTTAGGAACTTTTAGGGTGAGCTGGAAGATTTCCCTGGTGCACGTCACTTTCGGATCTAATCCTTTGACTCTGTCTTTGCAGGGAAAGCGCAGAAAGTCGAAGAAGCAGCAGGTGAGTCCCCATCCTTTGGAACGGAGTCAAAGAGAAGGTGTGGCCTAGATTCAGACCTTGACTTTGCCAGGGAAAGCCATGGGGGACCTTGGGCAAGTCACGCTCTCTCAGCCTCAGAAAGAGAGCAAAGGCAAAGTCACCTTGAACATAAGAAAATTAGGATAGATTGACCTTAGGGTTGGGATAAATTGGAAACAACCAGAAAAGGCACAAGTCATTTCCAAGAAATTGGGAAAAGGGGAATAAAATCTGGCCCTTTAGCATCAGTCCTGCTCTCTCATTTAAATGAAGACGAAGAATCATAGAATCAAAGAGTTGGAAGAGACCTCCTGGGCTTCCTCCACCACACTCCAGGGCAGAGAGTTCCACTGCTGAACGGCTCTCACAGTCATTAAGTTCTTCCTCATGTTCAGATGGAATCTCCTTTCTTGTAGTTTGAAGCCATTGTTCCTTGCCTAGTCTCCAGGGAAGCAGAAAACAAACTTGCTCCCTCCTCCCTATGACTTCCTCTCACATATTTATACATGGCTATCATATCTCCTCTCAGCCTTCTCTTCTTCAGGCTAAACATGCCCAGCTCCTTAAGCCGCTCCTCATAGGGCTTGTTCTCCAGACCCTTGATCATTTTAGTCGCCCTCCTCTGGACTCATTCCAGCTTGTCAATATACAGATTACTGTATATACTCCAGTATAAGCCTAGTTTTTCAGCCATTTTTATAGGCTGAAAAAGTTCCTTTCAGCTTATACTCGGGTCAATGTTATTTAATATTTTACTCGGTTATTATTATTTTTATTTCATGTATTATTTTACTCTATTTATTATTTTTGCATTTATTATTTTACTCAATTATTATTACATTATTATTGTTATTATTACATGTATTATGTATTATTTGACTTGATTATTGTTATTATTACATTTTTTACTCTATTATTACTGTTATTATTACATTTCCATTATTTTACTCTATTATTATTATTATTATTTAGCATCAGTCTGAATATATTTTCTGTTTATCACGAAGAGCCAGATTACTGTATATACTCGAGCATAAGCCTAGTTTTTCAGCCATTTTTATAGGCTGAAAAAGTTCCTTTCAGCTTATACTCGGGTCAATGTTATTTAATATTTTACTCAGTTATTATTATTTTTATTTCATGTATTATTTTACTCTATTTATTATTTTACTCAACTATTATTACATTATTATTGTTATTATTACATGTATTATGTATTATTTGACTTGATTATTGTTATTATTACATTTTTTTACTCTATTATTACTGTTATTATTACATTTCCATTATTTTACTCTATTATTATTATTATTATGATTATTATTATTATTTAGCATCTGTCTGGATATACTTTCTGTTTATTGCGAAGAGCCAGATTACTGTATATATTCGAGTATAAGCCTAGTTTTTCAGCCGTTTTTATAGGCTGAAAAAGTTCCTCTCGGCTTATACTCGGGTCAACGTTATTTAATATTTTACTCTGTTATTATTTTTATTACATGTATTATTTTACTCTTTTTAAATTATTATTGCATTTATTATTTCACTTATTATTATTCCATTATTATTTTATTATTGTTATTATTTCATTGATTATTTGACTCTATTATTGTTATTACATTTATTATTTTACTCTATTATTTCTGTTATTATTACATTTCCATTATTTTACTCTATTTATTATTATTGCATTTATTATTACTCATTATTATTACATTATTACTCATTATTATTACATTATTATTTTACTTTATTATTGTTATTATTACATTTATTATTTTACTCTATTATTACTGTTAATATTACATTTCCATTATTTTACTCTGATTATTGTTATTACATTATGTTACTCTCTTTATTCTTATTGCACAATTACGTTGAAGAAGGTGAGAATCAGAGTTGGACAGTCTTAAATTACAGTGTTATGCAAATATTCAAAGACATTTAACCTTCTGATGCCTCCATTAATGTCAATTTATTGGTATCTGTTTTTATTTTGAAACGGACCAGTAGCTGCTGTATTTCCCACCCTAGGCTTATACTCGAGTCAATACATTTTCCCAGTTTTTGTGGTAAAATTAGGTGCCTCGGTTTATATTCGGGTCGGCTTATACTCGAGTATATACGGGTACTTCACTAGATGTGGAAACGTATAGGGTGGACTGGAAGACTTCTATGAATGCCGGTGGGTTTGGGATCCAACTCTCTGTTTTTGTCTTTGCAGAAGGAGCGCAGAACGTCGAACAGGAAGCAGGTGAGGCTCCATCCCTTGGAAATGAATGGAAACAGGGCGGTTTTCAAGTAACATCACCAAAACATACAGAGTAAACCAGCGTGACATAAAATTAACAAAACAACAACATAAGCATAAAATGATGGGTCTGGGCGTTCCCTCCTTTTATCACAAAGAGCCAGGTTCCTTCCCTGGATTTGGAAACTTCTAGGATGGGCTGGAAGACTTCCGTGGTTACAGGTGACGTTGAGATCCAACTCTCTGTTTTTGTTTTTGTTTTTGCAGAAGTGACACAGAACATTGAAGAAGAAGCAGGTGAGGCACCTTCCTTTGGAACTGAGTGAAAAGGAAGAGGGACCTGGATTTCCATGTTCACTTTGCCCTGAACAGATCTTGCCTAGAGGATTCTGTGATAGAGTGACCTTAGGGTTACTATAAGTTACCATAAGTTAGAAAGAATTGGAAAGGACACAAATGGGAGAAGGGGAGTAAAGCCATCAGCCTGGATGCCCCCCCCCCCCCTGTTTATCACAGAGTCAGATTCCTTCACTAGATTTAGAAACTTTTTGGGCAGTCTGTAATACTTCAAGGGATACAAGTGACTTTGGGAATCAACTCTCTGTTTTCATCTTTGCAGAAGTGACGCAGAAAGTTGAAGAAGAAGCAGGTGAGACGCCATCTTCTGAAATTTAGGGCATTTCTACACAGGCCCTAAAATGTGGAAGAAACCGAGATTAAAAGGGGGGGGGGGTGGCTCAATGACATTTTGTGAAAACATGCGCGATTCACATTAACAGCTGAAAAACATGTGTTAAAAAAGTGCGATAAAATCTGATTTCGTCCCAAAAATGTGCATATTCACATAACTATATACTTCTGCAGTCAAATGACTTCATTTCTATACGTTGGTGTGGACTGTTCCAGCATGAAAACAGCAGATCGGGGCTGTAAACAGATACAGCCATGGACACACAGGTGGCTAAATGGAAGCACAATTGGAAAGCAATTGCAATAACCCTCTGCAATGACAATGAGAATTCCTTTGTTCTGATGTTTATGGAATTAAACAGAGCTTGGAATTTACAGAAGGGGAGGAGAGATAATAGGAAATTTAATGTGGACATTCAGATATCCACATTAGCACCTATGAGGTCCAACGCATTTGGAGCGTCAGTTAAAAAGATTAAAAGTAAATGTCCACCATATGTCCCCCATCCATCTTGTGGATTTCTAAAATTGCTACAAATGGTGTCAAGATGTCAGAGGAGCATTGACCGGGATTGACAGCTCTATGTTTGGAATTGCTCTCAGGTCCCGCGAATTTTTGCCTCACCTGGAAGTGCCCTGAGTGAAAAAGAAGAGTGGCTGGAGGATCTTATGCAGATCACACTCTCTCAGCCTCAGAAGAGGGCAAAGGCTGAGAGAGTGTGATCTGAGCCTATCTTGCCAAGAGGATTCTGTAATGGACTTTAGGATTGGCATAAGTTGGAAACAACCTGAAAGGACTCAAGTCATTTCCAGAAACTGGAAAGAAGGATAACAAAATCTGGTCTGGGCATTCCCTCCCTCCCTTTATCACAAAGAGCCAGATTCCTTCACTAGATGTGGAAACGTATAGGGTGGGTTGGAAGACTTCAGCGAGTGCCAGTGACTTTGGGATCCAACTCTCTGTTTTTGTCTTTGCAGAAGTGATGCAGGACATTGAAGAAGCAGGTGAGACATCTTCCTTGAGAACTGAATGGAAGGAAAGGGGTGGCCTGGATTGAAATCTTTGCTTTGGCATTGAAACTCACTGGGGGACCTTTGGCAGGTTACACTCTCTCAGCCTCAGAAGAGGGCAAAGGGAAATCCACTCAGAACACATCTTGCCCTGATGAGTCTGTGATGGATTGACCTTAGGGTTTGTTAGCAGGATCAAGTGTGTGTGTGTTAAAGAAAAACCGTGCGATGTTAATTATTATGTGCAGCTGGTAATGTAGGTCAGCCAGCATGTTTGGAACACACCCAATGGGGTATAACTGTATGGATTTTAGAATACAGTTTGGAGAAGCAATACACAGGATCAAGTGTGTGTTAAAGAAAAACCTTATGATGTTAATTATTATGTGCAGCTGGTAATGTAGGTCAGCCAGCATGTTTGGAACACACCCAATGGGGTATAACTGTATGGATTTTAGAATACAGTTTGGAGAAGCAATACTCTGAGGAGGAGAAGCAATATGGTGCTCTGAAGGAGATGCTGTAATGCTGCTCTGCTCTAACAGCGATGCTCTTTGCTGTGGTGGAATACCTATTTACTCAAGGTTTATGTTTTGCTCTCTCATTTGAATGAAGATGAAGAAGCCTTATTCTYCGTTACTTACAAGGATTATGGAAGTTTATTGTAACCAGATTATTAACTGGGGTGARTTACAGGGAGAGGTCTACRCCCCTGTTTAAGAAGCTCCACCYGCTGCCGTTCATTTTCCGGTCCCAATTCAAAGTTTCCGACAAGCTTTCAATGGGTGAATAACTTGGGACTATGTGTGTTCTCGTTTTTATTGTATTTTAAAGTTGGTTGTATTGTTTTAATCTACTGCTGTAAACCGCTCCGAGCCAAATTGGGAGTGGCAGTGTACAAGTCTAATAAATAAATAAATACATAAATAAATAAATAAATGTGTAGGTTCTTATCTACAAAGCCCTGAACGGTTTGGGACCCGCCTACCTGCGTGACCGCATTTCTGTGTACGAACCCACGCGATCTCTT